ACCACAGGAAGGAGCGTTTTCAATCTGTCACTACAGAAAACGCAGAGACCGAAACGGCCATATTGAGCCTCCAAGTTTGACTCATAATTTGTTTTGGTGGTTTGCTGTATCCTCATTCAAGTGGATGTTTAATGGATTTTAGCAGTTTTAAGTGATAATAAGCACTGGGATTAGTGCGAAAAGAATGATTCATAATAATGACAATCATATTTAAATAGATATACGCCACTGCCAAACCGGAAACACTACTCGGCCATATGCAACCTCCACATATTCTGGTCGCGCAATTTCGAGGTTATGCTCCTTCATGTAGTTTGTAGTTTTATATTCAAAGATTTGGACTCACAAATAGCAGACGCTATTTTAAGACTTACCAAAGTCGTAACTGGACTGGTAAACTTGATCGTGACAATAAACGCCTAGCTGTTTTTCTGGACCTTGCGAAGGCATTAATTGTACAATGTACCCCACGCCGAACTTTAAGAGGTTCAATAAATGCCTATAGCGTTAGGGGTTCAGTGAGGAATATTTTTGAAAACTATCTTAGGAATAGAACTCAGATTTTTTAAATTGGAGAAACTCTGAGTGAACCACAAAAAATAAAAATGGGAGTTCCACAAGGTAAAATACTGGGTCCCATTTACTTTTTAACTTATATTAACTCTCCCCAGTAGCACAACAATATTGGTGAAATATTATATTTACATATTGGTCCAAGAATGGAAACGCGAGTTTTTTTTTTACTGGTCCAATATATATTTTAAATATGAATCCGATATTGGAGATAAATATTGTCCCAATATTGCGAATTAATAAATATGGAATATTGCTTTTAGAAATATACCCAATATTTGTTTTTCAGATTGGCACAATATATACTTTTCATATGAATCCCATATTGAATATAAATATTTCTCCAATATTACCAATTAATAGATATGTAGTATTTCTCCTAGAAATATTTACGATATCTCTTTGGAAAAACACATATATTTAACAGCTCCAACACCTGCAGACTAGACCGGTTTTCAGTTTTGAGCTTGTTAGCGAAGCACACCAACTTAAAGAAACAGGTTTGAAGGAAACTCAAACGCTAGGAAAGAGCAAGGCCATCAGTAGCGCGTGGTGCCCTCTCTCGGTAGTCCTGATTGATATGGAGATACATCTCCTATATATCACCAATATTGGATAAATATTAAATATAAACATGAATAAAAGTTATTGCCAAATATGGATTATCAATATGTATTGGTTCAATATCGGATTCACATATTATGTAATAATAATGTAGGAAAAAAGTTAATCTCCTATATATTACCAATATTGGCTACAAATTGCCAATATTAGACCCATATACAATATTTTACCAGTATAGAATCAATATTGGGTCGATATGGATAAATATATCAATGTTATATTAGAAAAAATTGTATTGCCATTAAATGTCCAGTGTTGGCTAAATAATGCAACAAAAAACATTATATTTGCATATTGGTCCATTAATGGATACATATACTATGGTAATATTAGAAAAAGTTGTATTGCCAATATGTAACCAATCTTGGCTATATGCTGCCGATAAAAATATATTTTGCGCATATTGGCCCATTCTTGGATAAATATATTATTATAATGATGGAAAAAGTTGTATTGCCAATAAATGTCCAATGTTGGCTGGAAAATGTCAATATTGGGCCAATATACAATAATGGTCCAATGTATTCGCAACATGGGACCAACATTGTGTGCTACTGGGGTTAACCAACATGGCTATTGAAAGCGGCAGGTATATAGGAGAAGATTAGAAGATTGCCTAAAATGGGACACTTAAGCTTTTAAAAATAATAAAAACAAAAGTTTAAATTTTAAGTATTATTGTGCTATAATGAAAAAATACACGTTTGGAAGGGTATAGCCTAACCTAATAATTGAAAACTCAAAAATATGCGCAACATTTCGCATACAAAAAATTGAAGTGATTTCCCATTTTACCCGCATATTGAGGGTAAAATAGGAAATAGGTTGATGTAAAATTGGATGGTAAAATCAATTTGAAAATGTGCATAAAGTGATTTAATACAAAACGTATAAGAAATGAAATTGTATAATATACCTAATACAAACGATTGCCGAATATTCTTTCTTTTTTAAATGGGTGGCATCTAAAAAATAAACATAAAATATTAATCCATAATCAATGAATAATTACGGTAAAACGAGATACCCCATTTTACCAAAATAGTAGGGAGTTTTTAAACCCATTATTTTACGTACACTTATTAACGTTATCGGTTATTGTGCACATGCGCAGTGTGGTATTCCGTAAATAAAGATTTGTTAAAAGAAAGTACTTTTTAAGCCTTCTAAATAAGCCTGCGTAAATAACGTATCCCTTCAATCACTTTTGAAAGTAGAGGTTATGTTATGGTCCTATGGTCATTGTTTTTTTGTTTGATAATAATAGTTATTTATATTACAAGTGCGTTTATGAACATGATTACAATAACGAGTGTGAAAGATTAGAACGACGAGGTCGTAGACCGAGTCGTTCTAATCACAGGAGTTTTGTAGTCATGTTTAAATGCACGTGTGATGTACAACGTTTTATCTACAAAGCGAAAAATAAGTATGTTTTTCAATTATTTTCGTTTATTAGTAGCTGTTTACCTTCATTTTACCTTTACAGGTTTACCTATGACATTTGTCAAATCACCAAAAATAGTTGTGTTATAGATTCATAACCTCGTCTATAACACCACTAGTTGTGTTATGAATTCATAACCTAGTCTATAACACCACTAGTTGTGTTATGAGTCTCATAACACAACTCAAATACTAAAAAAATAGTTATGTAAAAACGTCATAACCTAACGTTTGTAGATAAAAATAATAATGGTTAATATTCTACAAAATATTATTCATCGCGGAAATCCTCATGGAATCGATCACAATTTAATCAGTGGCATAATATTTGATAATCCTCAGGGAGAGGAAGGAGAAGATTTCCCTCTGCGCTGCGACCAGCCCTTAATCAAGAAGATATGGAGGCTAGAAGAGCAAAAGTTAACTTTAGATTCTGTAAGGAGCACATACCCAGGCTATGCCGAACTTTCCGCATAGGTACCATAGCGAATCATCACACAATTTGGATAGCAATACACAGAGGATCCGCCATAATGCCAAATTGTTCTATTTATCACTAGATTTTTATCAACTATTTTGGTTTAAAAAGATAAAAAAAATATCTCATCAACGCGAATTCACACCTATGGAAACATATGTTTGTAGAATTACTGTTTTAATTTCTTTTTGATACTGAATATGAACATAGAAATATAATTGGCGGCAACCTTGCACAATTTATCTCCGGTTATTAAACGAACGTAATAGGCCCGCAACTAACGTGAAACGTTATCGCTTAATAGCGTGACCGGTTATTTTTTCGCTACTGCGCATGTGCACAATAACCGATAACGTGAATTGTACGTTAAATAAGTGGCTTAAAATCTCCCTACCCGTTTCACCCTAATTAGTTATTGATTATAGATTGGGCTATCCCGTTTTACCTAAAATAGAAATTTCCCATTTTACCCATACCTGATTTAAATTATCCAAACTAACCTCAATTTTTTGTAATCACCTTACAAGCAAACAGACGAAAACTTATGAAAACCAAGTCCATACTGCCCACAAAGGTCACTCGAAACGCTTGATATTTCACTTTCGCTAGCTTGAAGGTCTTAGGGTATCGGACTCGAAATTTATAATTTGGGCACATAAAAATGAAAAACATGCGTTCTACTAGCCGAAGTTGTTCTAATGGATCTATCTATTTAATTTTTGGCCGTAGGTTATGATGTTGCCACATCAAGTTAAGCTGGAAATGGCACTATCCCATTTTACCCGCGTAGGTATTCCATTTTAGGCAACCGTCCCCTACTATTATCTCATACGCCGAAGTGGCCGAAGACACATTAGTGGTATTTTTTGGTAACTGTTGGCCTGTGGGATGAACATTTTGTAACCACTGGAACATCAACACAAGCTCTCTCTAAACATTCGGAAAACCAATAATATAGCTTTCTCGAGTACCTCCATTTGTGAAGTAGCTCAGATTAAGTATTCGGGAATTACTGTTGATAGAGGTATTTAACGAAATATGACCTGAAACCAGCTTGTGCTGAACCTCCCAAATAACATTAGGAAATTAATATATAAGTTTTACGTATTGAGGAATATACTGAACCAAAAAAAATGATGATAACTGAATTCAAGACTTGGAATGAATCAGTGCTATGGTATTCGATAGGTACCCATTTGGGGTGGCTTGTATAGGAAGGTCTTGCAGCAATGAACGTTTTTTAAAACTACCTTTTGAAAGTTACGTAGGTATATTAAGCGAAAAAAATTTTTGAACATTGACATCACGAATTTGCTGTACTCGTGGGAGGTGATGAATGTTTGTTTCTTGCATGGGAAGCATCAGTATTTGTGTATGAAACCAACTACATGAAAAATTATGTAAATTGTTTGAATAAAAACATAGTTGTCCCACCATTAGCAGAAAAAATATTGACATAAGATTTATAATGTTCAGAATACTAAAATTCCTATTTTAACTTAGAAAAGGAAGAAAATCAGGCGAAATTGAAATAAATAATTTTTATCAAAATTATTGTCCAAGAAGTATAAGAGTTCCACTCCTATAGTTACCTAATTTACAAAAAAATAAATGAGGTAAGTAATAACTTCAGATTTGAGCCAGCACGTATACCTAGGTAAAGTCATGATATTTGCGTCTTTCACTAAGCTCAAAACAGGTCAGCTCAAAACTTTGTAAAGAAGTTAAGATGATATTTGCGATATTAGGTAAAGACGGTGCAAGCTGATTTAAAAAAAAAAATCTATAGACATAGGTTTGTTCCGATAAACCGTTCCGAAAGAAGCAACTATGTTCATACAATGAAAATGTTAAACTTGACAGAGAAACTTGTTCTTACTTTGGCAAAATATCACAACCCTGTGCCATTATAGACCCCAATGTGAGCCAAAGACAATTCTTTATGCCCCAAATATTTTCAAGCTCCTCAGGATTCAGATCGCAAGGATGAGGATTCTCCCAATCATCTGGATCTAGTCTAAAATTCTTAATGTGAAATTATAATAAATTGAATAAAGAATGCTTACCTTGCTATAAAAAGTATAACAATTGATATTACAAGATACAAAGTGGTAATATAAATCCACACAGTCCAAGTTAAAGGTTTCATGAAGCCATACATGTTACTTATTTCTTCTTGTTCAGTTTTTTTATGTAGAATGCTAATACCTAATGACATAAATGGCAAACTGAAATCGATTTTCTCATTCCTTTGTTGAGTTATTGTGAAGTCACATATTCCCAAGTCAGCTCTCTAAAAAACCGAATAAATGTTTATATTTTTGGTCTACTTATATTGAGAAAATGTTTTACTCTATTAACCAAATCCTCAACTATTTCGATTTGTAAATTTTTGTAGGCAAGTGTAAACTGGAAAGTAATATTCATGATTTTAGCTATTTCTGTTATCAAATCCATTGAAAATCCTCTGTATCTGCTATTTCCAACTGCACCAGTGTCATTTGTTTCCATTAAATATGGTTGACCTAATTTTGAACTAACAATGAAATTATAACTTTGCATCCTCTTCTGAAGTTCTTGTTCCCTTTCAGTGGCATTCCTTGTTAAGTGGATATCTTCAGGGCTCTCTGATGTCCAAATTCCTATAGGTTTATCTGGATTAGTAATTTCAATTACTTCCAAGTTAAAATGAAGTCTTTTGCCATTTTCTAGAGAGATAATTTCTCCTGTCAGTGCATTTGTAAGAATAGTCTGTTGCATTTCATTTATAAGCCCTATTCGATCAATTGCATATTTGTCTGAAGCGTTGCAAAATTTTGGTTCAGAGATGATATCTATTTCTGGATTTTTTTCGAGTAGCGAATTTATTGATTTGGCAAATAGTAGCATTGCATCATGCCGTAGAGCAGTTTCCACCTGAAAAGATCGTTTGATTCTAGAAGTATTTTTAATTGAAAAATTATTCTTTCATCAAACAGATAAAGTTTTGAAATAGATTATGTGTTGATTCCGCTTTCCGCGTTAACTCACTTGTGAAATATGGTACATGGTACTTATTGACTACACAATGTGTCCAAAATAAGGAGGGCCAGTATGGGGATCTGGTAAATGCTAAGAGATACGATGTCGCCTAAATTTTTAAAAAAATGCCCAATTTTGTGCTCATTGATATTTTTGATATTTCAGAAATTCCGAGTGCTACCAGAGATATCCAGAAAAATCCGAAATTTGCCAGAAATTATTTTATTTTTTCCTGACCTTATTTAAAGAGATATTTCAAAATAAATGGTACTTCATCGTTGCCAGTTGCCACTTTTCCTTCTCTACAAGATGCCCTTATGCAATTTGAAATCGAACGTTTCGCTTTAAGGCTCTTATTATCAACTTCATTTTTTTAAATACGCACCCTCATTTTCTATTTTAGATTCTACAGTGTCCCCCATAATGTTCGCTACATATGGATGGGGAAATTTTTTATTTTTAGGATATGGAATTTTTTCTTATGTGCGATCGATCCTGCATGTCCGATAACCTAAAACATTGGTCACGTAATCACTGTTGGGGCGGCAAATTCGAAAATTTGGATATGGAAACGCGGAAAGTGGGGGTTAGATGGCAATATTTCGGGAAAAGTTATTTGGAAAAAGTGATTAGAATGATGTTTTAGGGCTTCGAATATCGAGACTCAAATACAACTTCTGAATCTAGACAACATGAATCCGAACCTCAATTTTCCGAAACAAGCATTTCTTTAAACCCACTTCTTACTGTTAATTCGAAAAATCTGTACTACATTTATGATGCTTCCAATAAATTCAGATTACTTATTGATACAGGCGCAGGCACTGTCCATAAATTCCCCTATCGTTCCAAAGAAAACGTAACCATTCAACAACCATTCAAGGTATCATCGATCAAAAACTCCAGATCCGTGAATCAAAACTTGTACCGTTCACCCTCCAAGATCCTCACAAAGTGTATATTTACAACTTGAATATTGATTTCGATGGAATTTTAGGGTTGGATTTCCTAGAACATTATCAATGTGTGATAGATTTAAAAGCTAAAGAACTCGTAACTAATTTCAACACTATCCCTCTTCATGAAGTTACCGAAGAAGACTACCCTAATAATGCAAAACCCTATAACACTCAAACAATTCTTAACAAAATATCTATAGAAGCTAGAAGCGTAAATATCTTTAAGCTCAAGTGTAATCTATCCAACACAGATATTTTACTCTTTTCTCAAAAAAAAGAAAAAGTCAAATTACCTACCTAATGCTTTAGTAAAAGTCAATGAACAAGGTGATTTTTTAACTTCAATTGTAAATATTAACGCTATAGAAAAAACCGTGTAGTTTTCGACTTGTCTATCGAACCATTAATTTGTCTCAGAAAGTGAAACTCAAAAAACCATTCGAAGTTTTATCAACTCTAACCTCGAATATGACAATACTTATGATAGGCAAATGTCCATACAAAATGAACTTCGTACAGAACATTTAAAAGACCAAAAAAAAAGAAGTAATTACCAACTTGTGCCTGAACTTTTCCGACATTTTCTACCTGCGGAAGATGACACGCTCACATTTACTAGTGAGATTAAACACCCTATTGACACCAATAATGCATAGCATGTGTATATCAAATCTTACAGGCACCCCCAAATCCACAAAGAAGAAGTCAAATCCCAAGTTACCAAAATGCTAGACCAAGGCATAATTCGCCATTCTGTATCTCCATGGTCTTCTCCCGTCTGGGTCGTTCCTAAGAAACTTGATGCTTCTGGCAAACCCAAATGGAGCGTCGTAATCGATTACCGTAAAGTCAACGAACTTACCGTAGACGACAAATACCCGCTGCCTAATATTTCCGATCTTCTAGATCAATTGGGAAAATGTCAATATGTTACCACCGTTGACCTAGCCTCAGGTTCTCACCAAATAGAAGTAGACCCCAAGGATGTTTCGGAAACCGCTTTTTCGGTAGAAAATGGCCATTACGAATTCGTAAGTATGCCATTTAGATTGAAAAATGCCCCGTCCACATTCCAAAGAGTCATGGACAATATTCTCCTCGGCATTCAATACGAAAGATTCTTAGTCTACATGGACGATATTATCGTTTACTCTCCTACCATCCACGAACATATTTCGAGGCTAACCGAAGTTTTTAAACGCCTCCGTAAAGCTAACTTAAAAATCCAGCCGGAAAAATGTGAGTTTCTTCGAAAAGAAGTAGCTTACCTGGGACACCTTATCACTCAAGACAGTGTAAAACCGAACCCTGCAAAAATTAGTTGTATGCAGAACTTTCCCACACCCAAAAATCCAAGACATTAAATCCTCTCTAGGATTAGCAGGATATTATCGTCGATTTATCCCCAATTTTGCTAAAACATCAAAGCCCTTGACAAAACTCCTCCAGAAAGATGTTCCATTTCACTTTAACCCAGAATACATATGCGTATTCAAAGAATTGAAAAACGCACTAGTGTCTGACCCGATTCTGATCTATCCCAATTTCGAAGACATTTCTATTAACCACCGACGCTAGCGCTTTTGCCATTGGTGCAGTTTTGTCACAAGGCCCTATAGCAAAAGATCTCCATATAGCCTATGCCTCTCGAACGCTGTGCAATGCCGAAACTAAATACTCTACCATAGAGAGAGAATTACTGGACATTGTACGGATATTAGACATCCCTTTGGTCGAAAATTTGTCCTTATCACAGACCATCGCCCTTTAACTTGGCTTCTCTCAATTAAAGACCCTGGAAGTCGTTTAGCTCGCTGGCGCTTGAAACTCGAAGAATACGACTGTCGAATCGAGTATAAACCTGGGAAAATCAATAAGAACGCTGATGCCCTATCTCGAATAAAAGTGAACCACTTTAAAGATTGTTCACATTTAAGCTCCAAAATTCACATACTCGCTTCTAACAAAGAAGAACCTGATATTGACGATATAAGAAAACGCCCCTCTACAAGTCAACAACAACAACAAATTCCAATCGTCGAAATTGAAAACAATAATGAAACAACCCTAATTGAGGAAGAATACAACTCCTTCGTAAATCTCTACAAAACCAGAAAAATTATTGACAAAGATAGAGATTTCCAACCTACAACTTCTGGACAACTCTCACATAAATATTGTAACATTCTTTTGGCAAACCAAACTAACAGACTTACATCACAAAATTATAGATGATCTATTCGGGGAAAATTTCGATTTTCAACCTAATCAGGTTAACATTCTATCCAGCAAATCTGTGCAGGCACGCAAATACTTTATAATTCCCATTCCTTGTAAAAATGAGAAAATAGTCCTTACCCTCTTCTACTCGCTTTTCAAGTGTCAAAACGAATTTGACCCTGAAAAAACCTTTTACATAGAAAACAATCTAGAATTACGTATTCTTGAAATATTTTCCTTTATATTTGCCGAAAAAGACATTAAGCTTAAGATATGCCAAAATATCGTCAAAACCCCAGATCGAGACCAAATCCAAATTGTCCTGGACCAATATCATACTGAAAAAACAAATTTACATCGTGGAATCAATGAAACTGTTAGAAGGATTAAAGACAAATACTCCTGGCAAGGTTTACCAAAGATGTTGAGAAATTCATCAGAGCCTGTAAAATCTGCCAAAAAGTAAAAATCTGTAGGAAAAATCTTAGTTCTCCTCTCGTTATCACTGAAACTCCCAAAACTCCATTTGAAGGGATAAACATTGACCTTTTTGAATTCCCAGTTCGTAACTACGCCCTATCAGTTAGGGATGAACTTACCAAATTCACTCAAGCCTACCCAATCTCAGACAAAAAGGCGTCCACAATTGTTAACACCCACTAGTATTTTTCCAACATTACGGTACACCTTTAAGAATTCACTGTGATTGTGGAGGTGAATTCAACAACGCCTTACTCAAAGACCTCTGTCAACTCCACTGAGGAAAACGATCTATTTTAAATATTAGGCGTATTCTTTCGATCTGAACAAACTGATCGAAATCACTTGAGGTTTGTTTCAAACAATTTTCATCCGGTGTTACAACGATTTCATTGGCCCCAGCTGTTTTTTTGACGCCTCATGAACAAACGTCATGTGATCACAATCAGTTTGTTCAGATCGAAAGAATACCAGGATTATTTCTTCAAATCTCAACTTTTTTTTAAAAAAAATCTTTTACTGAATAAAAGTAAATGTTGCAACCATGTAATGCGCCCTCAAGTTTAGAATTGAACGAGAGCGCCACAGAAAACGAAGATACCGAAAACCGAAGAGGATACAAGAGAAGAGGCAATTAGGCATAAGAGAGACTTGAGAACAAGCTGGGGCTGTTCCTTTTTCCTTTAGACGCCTTTCTGTAATTATTCATTATTCAATTTTCATTTCTATTTTGCATTAAAATTGATTGTTGAATCCAATTTGTTATTAGTGTGTGTGTAAGGAGCGTTCACAGGTTAGTGGATTAAATGTTATTTTGTTTTTGAGAGTTCAGTTTATGCAAGTTCCTATTATTTTGTTCATTTTTATGTATTTTTTGTTTGTTTATAACATGTGCATTGTTTATGTATTTAACAAAAATCGTTTCATACTGTAAACAACACAGATAAAGAAGTAAATTAAAACCTAAGAAATTATGTGCTGTCTTTTTGTGCTGAGATTTCAATTTTGTGTATTCAGAACGTGCATTGGAGCCTTGTTGAATTTACTAACATTTTCCTACCCTGACGAGAGAATATCCTAACAAATTGAAATAATCAATCTAGAGATATTGGCTCAAAAACAACTATAGCTGAGTAGCTTCCCGTTTCCGTATGGGACCTCAGTATCCGCTGGGAGCAGCAGCCCTAGTAATCATTTACATTTGTTGTAAGTGTCGACGAAAGGCACCTCCAAAACCTAGCCCTATCGACGGAGACAAACCACCACCGTCGAAGTCTCATTCACGTCTTCAAATAGGCAACAACCTTAAAAAACTTTTACCGAAACGAAGAAACACCTTTCATCCAAATCTACCCTCAGAACAAGAGATGACCAGTCTACACAACAACCTAGTTGGGTTAGGAGCTGTTATATGGATTACAATGACAGGACCTCCAGACGCGTCTCATCACCACGGTCGTACAAAGTATCGCAAAGTCTAGACGTTTCTTCAGCCAGTTATCCTGTCTGCACATGTCACGCCAAGAACTGCTCCATCATCGCAACGCTTCCATAGAAACAGCAAGATGAACATGTTTTAAAATATAAAAGAGCTTGTCTCTTTAGTTAGGTCGTCATTATTAAGTTAGTTAAGTTAATGTCCAATATAATTGTAACCTCTATTTTAAAATAAATTAGTGTTTTTTGAAAAGTGTCTTTAAGAGTTTTTGAGATAACATGTTTATCGTAAATCACCGACGCATGAGCTTATGCCGGTTTTCCACCAAACCGACAAAACAAAAACAAAACTTAAACTCAGACAAAACTCCAACTTTTCCCAAACATTTTCAAGATTAGCGTATTTTGCCACAGGTGGAGTTTTGTTTTTCGGGTAATTTCGTGTTTTAAAACAAAAACTCAACAGTCCGTTTGGTGGAAAACCGGCATTAGACGTCGGGACTTTATGAATCTGCGATTTGCAAATGTCTCTGAGTTAAATTGGCCTCCACCTACGTCAAGTAAGGGTTTCACAAAATATACCTACGTTATCCGCATCTCGGCTATCCAGTTCAAAGTGTCGTAATAGCAATTTATCTTATTATTAGTAATTGTTTACAAAAGCAAAATACGAACCCAAACCAACGTTCTGTTGGTACCGTTCAGTAAAATCATTCAAATTTGACTAAAAACACTTGCTCGCGCAGTTGCGGGCAGCGTTACCTTTGAACTTTACGGACATTTGGCCGCTAACACAATTAATGTGGTCGGGTCAAGTCGACGGCCTCGTGGAGGTATTTATCCTGAATCTTTCTCACGCAAAAGCCGGCAGCACGCGCCGCCAGGCTAGCCCAGTTTGGCACAACTCGCAGGATGACAGCAGCAGGCTCGAGAAAATCATTCAAGTACAGTACAAGATGATAAATTCAAGAATGCAATAGAAGAAGTACGTGAAGAAGTTCGAAGCGTTCGTCAGGAGGCTGGAACTTTCAGTCAAAAAGCATTAAAATTTTCGAATCAAACAACGTTCTGGTAAAGTGCATAACAAAAAAAATACCTTATGCAAGCGACCGCGCCCAGTTCAAGACAAGCACTGCCTCGGAATTGATCAGTGTGAAAAGGTTATCTTTCGATTTGGACCGGGATCAAAAATTCAAACACCGGAGAAATCATCAATTAGACGATAGTGACAATAAAGCATCTTTGAACCCAAAAGGAACCGGCAATAGATCGCCAACAAACAATAGAAAGGGAAAATCCGGATACCGGAGAGGGTAGAGCTGGATGGGAACAAATGCATCCTATAGAGGCGATTCATTTGACAGCCTGACATGCATAGGGGTGTTAATCATATTGATAGATGAAATGATTAAGGTGATTAGGACTATCAAAAATTTATCAGAAATATCTAAATTTTGCTAAAATTGACAAAAAACAAACTGTTTTTATGGAAATAAAAAAGGCATCGAAACTTTAGCTGTTGATGAAGAAATTTGTTTTTGGAATAAATTTAAAAAAAAATCTTACCCTTAGTTTTCCAGGCACAATTGAAGAATAATATTGTTTAACAGCTTTCGCTATAACATCACTTTTTGGATCGAACAGTCGTATTGTAGTTATATTAGTGATAATGTTCAGTTGTTGAAAATCTAATGTATGAGCGTCCTAAAGATTAAGTTAAAATTTAATTAAAGGAAAGATAGGTGTGAGTAACTGACCATTGAACTAAGAAAAATACTTGTTGAAAAGTCATCCAAAAGTTTCACTTCTTTGCCCTGCAAAAGAACTTCCGTAATTTTATCGACGTGACAATCTAGAATTATTCTTCTTGATGGAGTTAGTTTGGTCACATCTTTCAAAAGTGGCCTATAATCTGGTCCTGGACCTAAATGTTTTAGTAAAACGGTATTTCTGTCTATAGCTCCTTGGACGTAATAAATTTTCAATACATCTTGCAACTTGGCTAGACTTTCTTCGTTTTCGTAAATTATCACGAATACATCCCAGTCTAAGCTCTTAACGATTGTAGCTAAACCCTATAACGTAAGTAAACAAATTAAATATTTATTCCCACAAATTAAAATATTTTATCATAAAATTAAGTACCTGTGAAAAAAGATTTGCATCTGGATATAAATTAAAATTATTTGGATATTCCTTGGTACTCATGTGAGTATAGTGTGTCGAAATGAAAGGTATTTGAAATGTGGAACACATTGATCCAATCATATCAGAACTTATAATAGATGATGGCCCAAAAACTATTGAAAGTCCATTTTCAGAAACTGATCTACAAACTAAACAAAAACCACAATCCACTTGAATTGCTCGAATAATAAACTCACATATTTTTGCTACAGCAAAACTATCAGTTTCGGGTATTTCAGACACCTGATATTGCAGTTGTAAATTCAAATTATCTTGTATAACGTTCCAGTCGAGATTTTCTGTTGATTGGTCTTTATTAAAAAATACGCCTAATAAGGTTTAAAAAGTTATAAATATATTCAGTGAAACTCAAAAGCAAATCAACTTACCAACTTTAATATAATCTTTAGCCAAACAAAGATAGTTATATATAACAAAACTGAAAATAATAATAAGATTTTGAAATGCAAATTTCATTTTTGCGCATTCTAGTTTCAATGATGATAAAGATTTTGCATGTTTAGTTTTAAAAAAAAAAGCAAACCACTGTTCTGAGAAGATATCTACCTACTGCAGAAAGCATGTCTTCTACATGTGTGTTGTGTGTTTGTTTCAAATTAAAATCTTTGGTCACTTGCCAAACGTTTATAAACTTTGTCGAATTCAAAAATAGATCCATTAGGCTGATTTGTTTGAGAAAGGTCGTGCGTGCTCATTTTCTGAAAACAGATGAATCGTTTGATAATAAAATACTCAACTTTATAGCTAATTAAATTTTACAATAGGTACTTAGGCGTAGTCGTAGACTACTTTGTGAATTGTTTTTTAAATTGCTTTAAAATGGAACTTTTACCTAGCGGTTTTCAAATACTTAATTAATAATAAAAACTTTGCATAAAAATATAAGAATTTTAAATAACATAATACATATGAACAAAATATTCGAAATCATTAAAAAAATTAATACTCGCGCTCAATGAAGTCGCTGCATTATAGTATACGAAATGGCTTTAGAGGCAAGACGAATCATGTTTCTTTCAATCTGGAAATTGAGCTGCAAATAGAAGCACACATAGGAGCAGTAGCCGTTTTCCGTCAAAGTTCGATCCAAAGTGGTTACGCATACGGACATTAAGCTTAGTTCCCATTCAGAGAGAAATCGCGTTGCGTCCGTTTTCTGCTGCAGAAAGTTTGAGTTTGGCCAGCTCACGCCGCATGCAGCAAGACTGTGGCTACAATTTGTTTTCCTGAACTTGCTGAACACAGAATGTTTCCTGAACATGCGGTAAAAATTCAAGGGGTGATTCCTGCCTGAGGTATTTTTATGAAGTTTAGGTCTATAGAAACATTGGTCGAAACGGAAAAATGCTTTCTAAGGAAGCTGCCTAAAGACAAATTTCTCACAATATTTCCGAAATCCTTATTCATACTGAAATTCAAAAAAAATAAAAACTGCATAAACTTCTGAAGCTATAATTTGAATCTGGGCTCAGAATTTGTTGGGTCTTAGGAGTTCATAGTAACGTGCATCGATGTAGAAATTTGCAATTTTCTCTAAAACAATTAGCCCTGTCAATATAAACCACAAGAGGATCTTCTTCACGTAAAAATCCTTTTAGGTGTATATTCTAAATTCAAAATGTAGAAAAAATTACCATTGACTCCCTTCATTTCTGAATAAAATTTTTAAATACTGAGCTCAGCTTAGATGTAGATTCAGTTTCAAATAATTTAAAAAATCAAAAACAAGAGCTGCCACAATAACCAGGCAATATACAAAAAAGTTTATCCAGTATTGAAGATTAATTAATACCTAACAACTCTACACTGACGGACATACGAAACAGGTCACTATAATTTTAAATACATTTTGTTACATGATATTTTTTGATCCGCTCAATGAATTTTCAATTCAATTCAATTCAATTTCATTTATTTCTTTTGGGCTTTTTACAAAAAGCATTGGATAATGTCAAATATACATAAATTACAAACAGAAGTTACAAACAAACATTATACAAAATTTTAAGGTTTGATACTTTGATACTTGCATTTGTTGTAAAATACTGTTTAGGTTTAGGTACAAATACTGATAAGCAATATAGGTATAGTGAGTACACTACTGTCATTATTTTTAAATACTGATGAGTGTTGTATCTTTGTCTAAGATGGCGCCACGATCAAATTTCGACCGTTGTATTATTTTTACATTTACAAATAGAGGTTTGCAGTGAGCTAAGAAATTTGCCCCAGCAATTTGTCTTACAATTCTCTTTTGAAGGATCAGTAGCCTTTCAGTGTATGCCGATGAGCCCCATACTGCAAATGGCTATTTATTTTGGCGTGATAGAACATCATAAGAAGGTTTGGACCGACAATCCCCTTTAGATTCATGACTGCAAAATGCCCACTCTTAACTTTTGAGGCTACATTTTCAATGTAAATTTTCCATGAAAGATGGCAATCGAAACAAACTTCCAAGACCTTCACACTTTCCTCAACAGGTAGGCTTTTATTGTTGATTTTAGAGACACTTTCAATTTTATATATAGTTTTTATTTCTGGGGTTTTTATAGTGTACTATCTTAGTTTTGTTAGAATTCAGAATTAGTTTGTTTTGTGTGCGCCAAAGATTTAGAGTTTCTGACGCCCTTGTTCTTTATCTTGATAGCTCAACTATATCCTCACAGCCAACAGTAATTGAATTGTAATCAGCGAATTGAGCCAGATGATGTTCTTCTTCTATTTTGTCCCGGAGGAAGGCCCGCAAATCATTGCCGAAGACAAGATAGAGACGTGGAGACACCCTGCGGAACACCTTGGGAAATTTTTTTCTTAGTGATTTGACTTTTCCGCTATTTTTGTCAAGTATTTCAACATATTGTTCTCCATCTGTCAAACAACTCTTGAGCCAGCTTAGGGCAGCTCCCTCCACTCCATAGGAGTCCAGCTTTTCGATACGCAGTTCAAAGTCTACCATGTCAAATGCTTTAGACATGTCGTAGTAAATTCCAGCGGTTTGTAAACCCTCATCCAGGTCTCGGTGTATTTTATTTAATATTTCAAAAAGGGCTGTTGTTGTGTTTTTGCCTTTAAAGAAGCCATGTTGGGTAGATGAAAGTGATTTTTTTTCTATAAAATATGCTTCTAGTTGGATTTTCATGGCTTTATTGACAAAAATTTTGGCAAACACAGATAGATTGGATATTGGTCTATAATTGACAGGTTTGATGTGTCACCCTTTTTAAAGCCAGGCGCAAACCAGAGCGGTGGCAATGACGGTGGCGGACGCGGTGGCGAACGAATACTGCACATGTAAATAAACCGAAGAGTGCATACTGTGGCGAACTGGAAAACGCGCCCGCCGTTCCTGCTGCGTTCTACCACGGCTCTGCGGCGGTCACATTGCGATCGGCGGTAGAACGCTGCCTGTATCATTTTTCCGCCTAGTTCGCGCGACCTGCATCAGTACAGCGAAGTGCAAACATGTCGTGTGATACTAAAAAACTTATCGAAAATGCGCAAGAGAAAAAAAAGAAAGCAAGGCTTCTTCTTCCATGTCTTGGGCACTCATTGTGTAATTTCCAACTAAAGTCAAAGCTAAGGATAAAAATTACAGTCAAGTTAAGTCACATAGCACTTGGTAGAACAAAGATTAATAGAAATGAAAAAAAAAAAAAAAAAACAGTTCAACAAAATATGCCAGTAGAGCAAACTGCAACCAATCTTGATCCAGAAGCAAATATGAAAATACAGAAAGAACTAAAATTTGTCGCGGTAAAAACGCGTTGGTTTGCGGACATCTAGTTCGCTCTGTCACCGCCACCGCAACCGCGCCCGCCACCGCCACCGCTCTGGTTTGCGCCTGCCTTAAAAATGGGAATGGTACGCGCTACCTTGAGTGCTCCTGGGTATGTTTCCTCTGAAAAGGACATGCTAACCATATCTGTCAATAAGGAGACGCAATCAGATTCACGATTGACTTTGAAAGACTGCCTTTTTTCTGCGTAACAGATAATATTATAGAACTACAGTTAAACACACAATCTATCTTCACTCTTTACATTCCTACTCCTCGTGCAGAAAGCACGATTTTTATAAGAAATTTTGAAAGAAAATTTAATTAACACCCAACACCCACGAGCATCCAAAGTCCAGATGAGAGTGTCCAGAATTCCGCCTCCTATAGGCATATTCTGTGTTTGTGTGGCAGTCCAATTTTAGTTTCTCAATGTTTTTAATAAAATAATTTTTCGATCTTCACCTTTGTTTTGTAACTATGTTCTGTGTTGGATGCGGCTTTAGCAACCAACTTTATGCTGATTACAGCATGAACACTTACATTTTTAAATTGAAGAAGTAGTCATTTTTTATGTAGAACTATTAATACTTAGGCATATCGTATATGACCATATTTCACTCTGCCATTTGAACTTATGCTGATGTTGGATCTATGATAGATCCGAAACATGTTTAGCCCCCCCTTCCAACTGATTATATTTTTATAAAATAAAGAGTGAAGATAGACTGTGTTTTACTCCAGTTCTTTAACTATTCTCTTCACTCTGAGACATGGACTACTATTTCAAAAGATAATATTATGTTTATCATTTCGGGGATACTAATGGGATTCAATTGAAAAGAAAAGGGGACCTTTACTTTTCCTTCTTTTCCAGTATGTGAGGTGAGTTTTTATGTGATGCTAGGGTTTGACTACAGAATCTTAGAATCTATGAAAAAATCATTGAAGAGAGCAAATTTTTGTGGGATCAACCGTTTCTTGACTATCTTTGGGGTCTCTAATTTGTAGGTTTTGAATTGAACAAGCAGAGGAAGTAGAAGAAAGATTTGTACCTACTCCCGTTTATGACCTCCCAGTATGCCTTTCCAAAGTTTTGAGACTTTTTTAATTTGTTTTCGTTGAAGGATCTTTTGGAGTTACGTATATGCTTTTTGTATTCTTTTAGATCACTTTTATATTTTTGTTTTTGAATAGAATCATTTGCCTGTTTAACCGACTTGTGTACAAGTTTTATTGATTCTGACATGGTTTTGATTTCTCTGGGGTTATCCAATTTTTCCTGTTTTTTTTTTACAGAGTCGGGTCTTTTTTAGGGGAGAAGCTATTTGAAAGTGATGCATGAATTCATAAACGGGAGCCCAATCGGCGCTCTTCAAAAAGGGTTCGAAAGCTTTTGTATGTTAGCTTGAAAAAACAGTGCGTTTGTAAGTAAATTCATTTTCATGGCCTGCGTCATGATCTGAGAAATGACATCTTTTCACTGTGATTTTGACAAACTCTCCATTGGCGAGATGCCCTACTATTCAGCTACCCACAGGCGTAGCAAAGTTTCATATTTCGGTTAATTTATTTCAATATACGAGACTAAATAAACAGTGATATCCTTTTCTAAAATTTAAACTGCGACACCGGTTCCTTCTGCCGAAGTTGGTTTAATTCTTTCATAATGCCAAGGCTCTACACCTCGAGCTAAAAAAATTGGTTACCTACTTCCCGTTGATGCCACCCCGCCTGCATCATAACTAATGCCTGATTCAGTTGATCTTGGGAGAGTCTTGGCAGTATGGGAGAATGAAACCAACTTCGAACTTTAAAATGATTAAACAATTTTGTGCAATACACTGACACTGACACCATCATTTATCAATGAACTGATAGAATGATATTGTTCGCTATTCAATGAGATTAAACGAATTACTTCCAGCTATTATGTTTTGGAATATTCCGATAATATTGAACAGCACTGCTCACTGCTCGATGCCTACCTCAAACAGTTATTATGCTAACAAACTGTCAACAATGAACTGGCTTTATCAAAAGGAAATATCCGGATTGATTTCATGAGAACAATAAAGAAATTGAAACGGTACTAAGAACAAGAACGAATGGTGGATAATAATTAAATCAATCGCAATGGCACACTACTTAGCTGCCTCTTACAACCCCAGAGCCTTGGCCCTTGTTTAGCGCCGCAAAATTTTCTAGGATCTAAAGTTTCCTAATGTTTTCTTTATACAACCTCCATGTTCTCCATTTAACTCTAAACACTCGAAT